CTGAGTGCTCCAGGAGTTCGGTGGCTCCCACACATCCTGGCTGCCTATTCTAGTCACTTCTAAGCTTCTAAGAATCCAGGCGCCCAGGCGCTCCCAAGAGTCTGTGCATGTGAAGGGAAGAGGCAGTGTTAGTATTTTACTCACATCCCTCAAGAGGCTCCTAAGGACAACACCACCTGGAAACCACGTCTCTGGTGGCCCCTGAGCCGCACGGCCAATGAAGTCTTGCCAAATCTAAGGCGTTTGAAAACTCTGCGCAGCGCGTCAGAGCTTAGGGGCGGCTCTTATCTGTGTGTGTTTCTAACACCCCAAATTGTCCAGAAGTGGTCACCGAACTCCAGTGTTCAAAGATGCCTCACCGGAGGGAGTTAGTGTGGAAACTGCAAAGTCCCTTCCGGCCCCGGGGTTCTATAGCTCCCTTGATCCTTCGCCGCTTCCCTCCAGCCCCCAATTAGTTGTCGAGCATCTTTTGCGTGTGAGGCTCAGTTCTGAGCGTGGGGCAGGAGCGGCGTGGGCCAGGTAGACCCGGCCACTGTTCTGTGGAACACGCGCTCCAGCTGGGGAGGCGCATTGTCAGGTGGGCTAGCGCAGGGGTGAGTTCCTTGTGAGGGGTGAGGGGCTGGGCTTAGAGTGGGTGGCTGAGGGATGAGGTGTTGTGGGGGCTGCAGGGTAGGGGTCGGGCCTTCTCAGCAAGCACCTCCCGCCCGTCCAGACACACAGCGGCGGGAGATGACCTTGCAGACAGCTCGGGTAGAGATGGGTGGCTCTGTCTTCACACCAGCTGGACACCGTGGCTCAGACATTATCACCAAGACCCAGACTTGTTTGCGCAGCCCGAGCCTGTGGGCCCTTCCCCTCTGGCCTCTGGCCTCAGAAGCCCCGGGTCCTGCCGCCTTGGGGGCTACCTCGTGTTCTCAGTCCACAGCCCAAGGGATAGGGAGGATTTCTCTGTAGCTCCTCTACCATCCAGGGGTTTGGGAGCGGGGGGCTTGGGACCGGGGTACTTTGCAGGTTCACGTCAGCTGGTGGAAACCCTCCCCGGTTGCCACAGCAAGGTCAGTCCGCCTC